CACTAGAGGGTTTGGCCTTGATGAGAAGGGCCTTCCGTTCCTCAGAGAGAAAAAAAGGGAGGAAAGAATAGGGAGATGGAGTGAATAGTGGAGAAGAAGGAGCCAATAGAGAGCTTCAATTTTCTCAGTAAGGTTTGAAGCAAAGTCTCCTATTGACAGGAATGGGGTAGAGGGTGGTGGATAGTATTTGAAAAGAGAAGAGAAGGTTCAGAATAGTTGCTTGGAGTCTGATAGAGTCAATCAGGGAAAGAATAAAAGGCTTTTCATTTAAGGATTAGTGAAGGCCTAGCTGATACAAAAATATGTAAATTTGTAGTCTATCAGGTTGCATGATTTTCACCATCAGTAGTTAGTGGCACATAAGTAGAAGAGGAAAAGGGAGGTGGTGGGGGTTTGGTAAGACATAACTAATCACAATCAATCAAGCAAGCAAATTTTTTAAAGCTCTTACTATGTGCCAGATGGTAGCCCGTTAGAGAAAGAGTGCTGAGCCTGGAGTCAGGAAGAACTGAATTCAAATCTAGCCTCAGACACTTACTAGCTGTGTGACCCTGCGCAAATCAACTAACCTCAGTCTGCCTTTGTTTCTTCACCTGTAAAATGAGGATAATAACAGCACCTACTTTCCAGGGTTGTTCTGAGGATTAAAAGAGCTAATATTTCTAAAGCATTTAGCACAGTGCCTGGCACATGGTAGGCTCTTAATGAATGTTTGCCTCCTTCCTTTGCAACTACAGTATATTCCTCAGCTTGCTCCCTCTTCCTCTCCAAAACCTATTCTATCTCAAGCAAATTATTTAAAATGCTATGTCTCTTTAAACTAAGGATGGTTTACTGTGTTATTTCTCCCCATAATTCATTTGCATTTTAATAGTGATTTCTTGGAGATGATGCCTTAACCCAAAGGAAATTAGATTTCAGACCCCATGACAGCTCGATGGAAGAGAGATTTTAGGGCAGGAAGATATCTCAGTGCTCATCAGATCATACTACATAGATGTCCACTTATTCTGCCTACACATAATGCCCATCCCATTTTAATTACACATATCAATGTCTTCTCTCATGGCTGTCTCACTTCTCAGGCCTGTACTACCCTTCGGGATATGGAGAAGAAAACAGAGATGGTTATTAAATTGCTTTTCCTATTAGTCTCCTTGAAAAAGTTATTTCTAATTTCCATCTTCTTAATTCCTTCCTGGGGAATTCTCTGCAGTAGCCTCCAACAAAATTTCATTGGCAGTAGGCACATACATAGTTCTGTGTGAGAGTGAGATTTGGCCCAGTGAGGTACATTTAAGGATCCACCTCCTTTCATCTTCTCCTCCTGCTTCACATGGGGCCAATTTACATGGCTCCCTTTAGTCCCAAGATAACGGCTGAATGGGCACCTATGGATTAATAAGCATTGAACAGTGAAGCTTCCTACACCTCAGCTGCTGGACGGAAGGAGCTTCTTTTCCTATTTATTCTCTTACCCATTAGTGTGGACATTTTCCCATTGTGCCGTGTCTGGAAATTGGATTGTGAAAACCCATGTTTCATGGGAAGAACTGTTACTGTCTCAAGATTGTGTCCACAATTCCTGTTAATGTCACCCACTCCTTTCAGTCCTTGGAGCATTGAACTTAATTACCAGGAGCAAGAGGAAACAATGACTCGATAAATTAGCAGATAACTTATTATTGGCTATATGTCAAACATTCTAGTAGGTTCTGAGTATGAGTTGCTATTTCTCTTCTCAGGATTGTTGTACAAGAGCTATAGGACTGATAGATGTAGATCCAATACTTATAATGTGATGTTTAGAGTGAGGTGGGCCAAGAACTTAAAAGCAGCCATTTCCAGCCAGTGGCCTCTTCTAGGAAAATTAATGGCCACAGCCAAGAAAAATGGAACAAAGTAGGCATTGTTCAATGGCAGTCACTGGAGTTAGCTTCCTGCCCCCCTAAAAAAAAGAAAAAAAATCTGTGTGCAATAATTTGGACCCATCAGCTTCAGAGTAGGGCATCTGGGTTCCCATTTGAAGCAACTGAACAAAGACCTGAAGACTTCATGTGCCCTGGCCTTAACGATCTTGACAAAACGTCTCATTCAGTTTCAATTAGCCACGTAATTGGATAGCTGAATCAAGTTCTCAATAAAAAGATATAAAATATTCACAGGCCAAGTTGATTGTAAATGCATTTTCAAATTTCTCATGCCTTTTAATATTATTGAAATGGACTCATTCTCGATTCTTTCTTTTTTTTATTGCTAAATTTGCTTCAGACGCTTTTAATTTATTCCCATGCTCTGGTCTCACTTTTTTCAGCTCAGCAAATGAATTCAGATTGGCAGACGTTCTTTTAAAAAGAGAGTTCTAAAATAATGTAGGGATCAAATATGATTTCATATTACTGTGACATTTATTATCGAATAAAAAACTTTTTCAAAAGACAACAATGAAAAAAATAAAGTTAGGGGATTCAAACAGTTAGAAGAACCATTGCTACCAAGACAAATTATTTTCTACTGATAGGATACCTTCAAAGGAACCTCAGTTGCACTATGCAGTATGCAGAAAAAACACTGCCTCTAGAATCAGAGGACCGACTTCAAATCCTGTCTCTGTCACTTATTACCTGTGTGACCTTGGGCAAGTCACTTAACTTCTTTGGGTCTCAGTTTCCTTATCTGTAAGCTGAAGAGTTCAGACTAGATTACATCTAATATTCCCTAGAGCTCTAAGTCTATGATCTTGTCAACACTATAATTGTTTTTCCGCTGTTAGACAGGAAGGTCAATTAAGTTTAAGTCATCATCACTTCTGGTCTTGTTCTGATCTCGCACCCTCTTTATCTGCAGTTTCTGCCTTGTTCTCCTGTGTTCAAGTCTTTGCCTTCCTTATACTCTTTGATTCCATTGCTTATTATTCACTTCCTGAAAAGGACTGAATGTCCTTCCCCTGAACTCAAGGGTTAACAATAGCAACTATTTTATCTTCCCAATGCCTCAACATCTTGCCTCTCCCTTGGAACCCCGTCCATCACCTTCCTATGACAAATGGCTCTCCTGAGTTGAAACTCACATTTGGAATTACCTGTTATGTTCTGGTGTCTCAAATAAAGATACCCTGGCCTTGTTCCTATACTCCAATAATTACTTGTTGGTTTGTTTTTTATTGGTGCCCTCCCTTTTTTAAAATATCACAGTGGTTTCCCAACTGTAACTGACCTGCTGGTACCACTAAGGGACCCCAGCTCTGAACTGATGTAAACTGGATTTAGTCCTGAGGGAGCCTGATCTCAAAGAGAGGAAAGTCAGAGTCTTATGGTACTTTCTGTATCATAACGCAGACACTTCAGACTGGAATTAAGGAGATGATCACCTAAACAGAGCTAAAGTTTGGTTCTCATCCCATGTCTGCCCAACAGGAATTAACAAGGTCTTAGCTAGGAAGGTACTTAATGTACAGAAGAGATCAGGTATAGAACAGCCATTTCCCCCCCCCCTTCATTACAACAGAAATGCTTAAAACATGGAAATAATATATTAAATTATATTATATTAATTAAATTAAATTAAATTATGATATTATGGTATATTATAATATATTATATAATATATTACATTGATTATATTAAAATATGATTCAGCAACCCATTATTCTTTTTTAAAAGTTGACAGGATGGGTGATTCTTCCTGGATCAGTGGCTCATCCTCTTTTACACAGCTCTTTATCATGGAGGGAAGGAAGGAGATGGGATTCCCAGGACCAACCAGAAGCTTTTGCTTGTGTAGTCCCTTTGTCAAGAGGACAAAGTACTTATCTCCATGGATGTGGCCAAGGTATAGGCTTAGCTCTCCCTGGAAAATTCCACAGCCAAAGTGTGTCACTGGAAGTGGTCAGTGTATAGATCCATCCCCATGAATGCTTCTTGGAATAATCACTGTTATACCCAGTCAAGTCAATGTAAATTTATTAAATACCCACTATGTCAGTCAATAAGCATTTATTAAGCACTACTATATGTCAGGCACTGTGCTTAGTACTAAACTATATGCCAGGATCCCTTGCAATGAAGGAAAATAGTTATGTAAAACCAACTGACACAGTGATCAAGTCTAACTGAATATTCAAGATTCCTCATATATATTCCCCTACTCTCTAACTGAGGGAAAGGAAAGCAATGTTTAGTCTTCATGAGTCCCTCTGGGTCTTTTTAGACTCCTAGTCTCAGATTTCCCCAATCTAGACACACACACACACACACACACACACACACACACACACACACACACACACACTCCTAAACCTTTCCCTTTTGCTGTCTCTCCAAAAAGCTACAAAGATAAGGCTCCCAGGCCCTTTGCACAAGCTACACTGGCTCCCCACATATTCAGCACATAGTTTCGAGAAGCTACATTTGGATGCTCTTCTGTCCTCAGACATGCATCTACAAACAGATACTGTCCTTTCTACCCCTCTAACATCAAGCTCCTGCATCACACTCACTGAATAATTAATACGTACTTTGTGTGCTCCTTCCTCTCCCCCTTTTTTCTGTCTTTCCCTCTTTCCCTGTTCTTCTTTGTCATACACACACACATGCACATACACACACACACACATCATCATCATAATCATCATCATCGTTCTATTCCATTCACTCAGCAAATATTCCACAACTCCTCACAATCATGCCCATGTTCTACTTCACTCATTCAATAACTACTCCATACTCCATCACAAAGAGACCCTGAGGCTGCATCACACCAACATATCATCACCAGCATCAAAGGTATAGGGGTCACCTCCCATAGATGTCTTTCTCTTCCTTCCCCAATATGGATTATAAGATCATAAATCTAGCCCTGACAGGCATTAGAAGTCATCTAGTCCAACCTCTTCATTTTGCAGATGAGGTCATGGAGGCCCAGAGGTGTTAGGTGATTTGCTCACAATCACACAGGAAGTAGTCAGCAGAGCTAGCATTCAAACTCAGGCCCCACCACTCCAAATCCTGCCTTCTTTCAACCATACTACACTGTCTCTCAATTTCAGCATTAACGTTGTTCCACTGCCATCTGGGCATCATTTTGGACATGGCAACTACCAGTACTACCAATCAGGTAAAATTCACCTACCTCTTTTCTATCACCTTATATATTTTTGTGTGTATGGCCCAAATGCAAGTGAGTACAGGAAGCTGTTTAATAGCTGGCTATCCAAAAAAAAATTTTTAAAGTACAAATGACACACTTTTAAGTTCAACCTACATTACTAATATTTTCTCCATCATTTTCTTAAGTCTAGACAATCAACAAAACAACAAATCAACCCTGATTTGTAGTGTTTGCTGATTTCCAATGTGTAAATTAAAATTTAAACACTAAAAATTTAACAATCAGCTCTATGAGCCGATAGAAGCTGGCTTCAGCACACCCCTGCCAAATGCCTTCCATTGCCCTTATGTTTGGACAATTCACACGCTCTCTACTGCCATTCTTACATAAAAGCTCAAACTTCTTATGTCTGATTCATTGAGGCTCCCACTTTTCCTCCACTGGAAGTGAACGCTGAATGGATTTAACTAAATAAACTAATCCTAGCCTCTGGTTAGATAATTCATATGGTACTCCACTTAAGTAATATAACTGAACTCCATGGTATTTATGCAAATACTAAGAAGTTCAATTTGCATGGCAAGCGAGTGGGTTAGATATTTAGGGACAGTGTGACATTTTGGAATACTTCAAATTGGTTACTTCACTTCAATGTAAAGCCAGGTAACACTATTTTTTTTCATTTATTTTATTCTTTCTTTTTTTTCCCTTTTGCTGTTTCTTCTTTCACAACTCTGATTGATGTGGAAGTATTTTTACATGATAGCACATTATAAACTATGTCAATCTGCCTACCATTTCCAGAAGAGGGGAGGGGAGGGAAGGAGGGAGAAAAATTTGGAACTCAAAATATCATCAAAATGAATGCTAAAAATTTTTTTGCTATATAACTAGGGAAAATATTACTTAAAAAATATATGAAATCAGTGAAATGTGCCATTTGCAATACATGCACAGTAATTCCTGATTGGCTAAATAAAGGATGGAATTCTGCTATTGCTCTTTGGAACCACCTAGAGATTAAAAGAGATGGAACCTCTCGGTTCAGGTAACACTTTACCACAGTTTAACACCTGAGGACTTTAAGCTCCCATCTAGGTTATGTATCACTGTTGCCCTTCCTGTCTAACGTGGATCAAATTTGGAAAGGCAAGAGTTATGGACCTGAGAAAGTAACTGAACCAAGAGACCGTTTAGGTGTGTGAAGTTGTGATGATTGTTCTGGTACTAGTAATGGCCCTTCATTCATTCACATGTTCATTCATTCATTCACTTACTTATTTGTTCATTCATTCATCAGTTCAGCACTTTTTAAAGTGCTTACTGCTGTAGGACTTAAGGGAATGGGGTTAAAATGGTCTTATCATGATGTCATTGAAGACCACTAAGTGAGTCAGCTATGGGAAATGTTCATAATACTAAAAGATCTTTGGGAAAGAGGAGATAATTGAATATGAAAAAACTCCAGTTCCTTGTCAACAGGTTCATAGCTTAACATTTATTTATTTTAATTCACATTAAAATAATGGGGAGCAATATGCTGTCAGAAGCAGAATGCTAAGACAATGAGCAGCTGATGAATTATACAGCAGTCCTGTTAATGGATAAAATCAAGCTTAAAAAGATCTTCCTGCCACCTCCCTCACACCTCAAACCTCCAAGCTTCACCCAGGACTACAATTTATTTCCATTGATATTATTTCTGTCATCTTAATTTACCCTCACTAATCTTTATCTCCACATAAAAAAAATATCACCACTTGACAGATTCATCCAACAAACACGATTGTCCCAAGACAAAATTTTATCAAAAACAGATTTTATCTTTAATGCTTTCAATTCATTGTTTAGTGTCCCTAGTTCCCCTTGTGCCAGACCCCTACTGTGTTACCCCACCTGGGCCTTCCTTGTGATAAAACAAATTTTTTCTCCCTCCTATCAAAACATGTCTGTCCAATGAGTTACCAAATAAGGCATCTGGCTGAGTGAGAAATCATGCCCAAGCCCAGTTTTTTGTCATCACCTTGAAAAAGGAATAAATGTGCCAAATAAAATGAAAGAATAACCACAAATGAGGAGAAAGGAAAGGCATAGTAAAAAGGATATGGAGTCTGGTAGTTCAGTCTTGGGACTGGAATGCAATGAAATGCTCATGAGACTTAAAATAATTAAGCAAAGTTTAACCAAAGGATCTGAAGATACATCATTGATTCAAGTGGACAATGCTTATCTCCATCTCTGCATTTACATCTGCAATAATGGCAATGCTAGATCTGAAGTAAAAAGACTACCCAGGGCAGTTAGAATTCTGTCTAAACTGAGAGGACAAATTCCCCATAGATTAGGGTTTTTTATGTCTCATGTGACCAGGAAACACACCAATGACACAAGCCTTAGTCCCTTGGACCTATCAAATCCCAAGTATACCCTCTTCTCCACACTTTCCACACCCTCCCCAAAAGAAAAGCCAGCCCAGAAACAGATGCCATTTATGACAGCAAAAACAAGAGAAAAAATGTTTAAAAAGCCTAATACAGTGAAAAAAAATACCATATGGGTGAAAATGCAGAGAAAAATTTTCAGAGAAATATTCTGAAATAACTACATCTAGAACCCCAGAAGAGAGGTTGAAAAGCAGAATAAAAGAATTGAAGAAAGGAAATTTGTATTTCTCAATTTAAAAAACTTAAGGAAGTCTTGATACTTTAGTATGAAACCTGGGAAATATTAATACATTGTGTCTAAAATAAAAAATAATGGAGGAGGCAAAACAAAACAAAACCTATTTAACAAGAGCAAAATAAAAACTGCAGTAAAACTAGGACATATGAGCTCTATACAAATAAAGACAATTGACCTGAAAGGCAAAACTTGAGGAGAAAATGTAAATGTTTGGCTTCTTAGAAAAACAAATGCTGAAATAACAAAGCCTAAATGCCATAATTCAGAAAATCATAAATAAAATTGCTCAAAAATATAGGAAACAATAGCCACTGATCAATAGAATCCATAGAGTTCCAGCAGAGAGAAGCCAAAAGTTTGATTCAACCAGAAATATAGTGACCAAGCTATAAAACTTCCAGATCAAAAACAAAATTGAGCAAAATTCCAGGAAGAAGTAGCTTGTGTAGCAAGACATTCCATTGTGAATTGCTCAGGTCTACTCACCAACAACTAAAAATGAAGAAAAAGTTAGGAGAAAAATGCTTTGGATCTAAAGATAACTTATCTGCAAAGATGAATGATCAAAGAAGATAAAAATAGATTTTAATTAGACTTATCAACTTTCAACCAGTTCCTTATTTCCCCAGAGTCCTATTGTCTGATTAAATAAACCAATTTGTTTTAGAGTGTTAATGATTGATACTTCAAAAATCTTTGAAACTCTCTCCATTGATACAGAATACAACCTTCTCTACAATTTAACAAATAGCTTTTGAAAATTGTTGCAGTTGAAAATGTCAATTCCCTGTGTCCAACTTGCAAATGTATCTATATAGTTAAATTGGTCATCAGAAAATAAGAATATTTTCTATCACCAGGCCCATATTCTAAATCCTTCTAGCTTTGTGAGATAATAAATGTTATCCTTTCCCCCAAGGTAACATTTGGATCTTAACAGAAGCTTTCACTGATTGACAGAGTCAATGCACAGAAATAATTTCAGGAAGTACAGCCTTTTTCTGGTGTCCCTCGAATGACATCACCTACACAGAAGCTGGGAGGCAAGAGCGAGGGCTTCCAAGACATTTAAAAAGGTAGTCTTTTCCCTAAAGTTTTTATTTACTATCTCCCAATAAGAATAATAATTTACATTTCTATAGTAATTTAAAGTTTATTAAGCCTTTTTCTCAAAAAGCTCATAAGAATTAGTACTAATATTATCGTCTCCATTTTATAGATAAGAAAATGTATGGTTAAATGACTTGCTTACTATCACATTAATATTAAATGGCAAAATGAGAACTCAAATGCAGGTCTTTGGACTCTACTGATTTTCATGAAATAGCTACCTTGAAAGAAAGATTTGCTTTCATACGAGTATGGGAAGATAGTGACCATAAATTGCATTGTAAGCCAATAATTGGGCTAAAAGAGTGAGGCTAAAACTCTGGAAGGTCAAAGGCATACAGAATGAAGAGAAATGAAATAAAAGGAGGAGAAAAAGAAGAGAAAGGAAAAGGGAGAAAAAGAGGAAATGTCTATCACATAGCTGTCCCATTACTGGGAAAAATGGCTGATATACTTATGATTAAGGAAAATTATTGGATCCCAAGCTAAGGTCCCTCCTGGGAGGAGTCATGCCCCAAGCTGTAATCTGAGAGTCAAGTTAGATTAAACAAAGGTTTGCCAGGAATGACAGATCCAATTAGCAAGGCAAGGAGTAGGGAATGGAATTGACTCCCTAAGGAAAGAAAGTTGGGGGAAAGAAGTTATCAAGTTATTAAGAGGGGGTAATTGATTGTAAAGGTCTCAAGAGGTGCTTAGGTTGAAGTGTAAATATTCAGAAGCAGTTTAAAATAACAAGACTAAAAAATCTCAATTAGTATACAGTATACTGATTTGCAGTCAACTGCATTAATGTGCGATGTATCTATCTCTGCTGTATCTGTGTTTTCAAGTATTGGCTGGTTGCTTTCCTTGGTAAAAAGATAGATTGACTTTAGGGACACCTATCCATACATTTCAAAGGACATGTGGCATCAGTGAGGGTGGGAGATGGGGGAGGAGGATCTGTGGTGGAGGATGAGATATTTTACCCCTATGTGAAAGTTAAAAAGTGAAAGATGATAATGCAATTAGATATACTCAGAACTGGTTGAATGTTCAGATTCTAAAAGTAGTTGTTAATTTGGCAGAGGATATGTGTCATATCTCCTTAAAGTACTATTAAATAGAAAGGCAGCACCCTTGTACAGAGATCTTTAGAGCTGCCAATAACTTTGCAACTACATTAATTTTCAACATCAGCAAGGCAGCAAGTCTTCAGCAGAGTATGCCCCAGGCACCTGTCCTTAGTACTGTACTATCTAACATTCTTATCAATGTCTTAGATAAATGCATAATCAGCATTCTTACAAAATTTGCAGATGGCACAGCTAGGAAGGACTAACACCCTGGATGACAAAGTCTGGATCCAAAAAGATTTTGACAGGAGAACATTGGGTTGAATCTAAAAAGATGAAATATAGTAGAGATAAATGTAAAGTCTTGAACTTAGATACAAAAAATCAGCTTCACAATTATAAGATGGAGAAGGCATGGTTAGGCAACAGTTTGTCTGTAAAATATTTAGGGGTTTCAGTGGACTACAAACTCAATAGAAGTAAGTAGTATGATATGGTAGCCAAAAAATCTAATAAAAACTTTGATTACATTAAGAGAGCCATAGCTTCCATGGATAAGGGTCTGATCATCTCTCTACACTCTACCCTCAGCAGACCACATCTTAAATATTAATGTTCATTTCTGGCAGCCACAATTTAAAGGCACTAAAAATATAGAGAGTATACTGGGGAAGGTAATCAGGATGATGAAAGGCCCTGAGACCAAGTTTTATGAGAATCAACTGCAAAACATGAAAATATTTAGCCTGGTGAAGAGAAGACTTAGGGAAAATATGTTGGCTTTATTAAAGTATTTGAAAACCTGTTCTGATGAAGAGTCACATGCCTTCCCACTCTGGAACATCTCTCTACCTTGGTGACCCTGTTCTCTCATTGATCAATTTCTCTTAGGGCCTCCATTTGAGGAAAGGCCCAGCCTATCCTTCCTTTATTCCCCTTCTCGCTCTGCTTCTAATTCTCCAGACTTCATCACCATCCCTTAGTGTGGGTAACATTTCCAATACCATCCCTGCCATATTTTCAGTTCCCTTTTACAACCCAGGTCTTCCTAACTCTAAGTCCAGGGCCTTATCCACAAGAGGAGTCATTTGTCTTATTGGGCCCCAGAGGGCAGAATTAGAAGCAACAGGTGAAATTTGCTAAGATGAAAATTTAGGCTTAATGTCAGGAAAAACTTCCTAATAATTAGTACTATACAACATTGGAATGGGATGCCTCAGTACATGGCATATTCCCTCTCATTGAAAATCTCCAAGATGAACGTGGATAACTAATTGTTTGCTGCGTTATAGTAGGAATCGCTGTTTGGGAATGAGATGGAACAGATGGTTGTGAGGTCTCTTCCAACTCTAAAATCCTATGATTTTTTTTTTCTGAGTATGGAGAAATACTCATCTAAAATGGAATAGAGTTAGACTGTCATGGAACCAGGAAGAAAATGTAACAAAAGGGATTCATGGGTGTTAACAAAATAATCCAATGCACCTTCCTTGCCAAAAGTATCATTCTTTTTTTTTTCTTTTTTGCTGAGGCAATTGGGGTTAAGTGACTTGCCCAGGGTCACATAGCTAGTACGTGTCGAGTGTCTGAGGTCAGATTTGACCTCAGGTGCTCCTGACTCCAAGGCTGTGGCTCTAGCCACTGTGCCAGCTAGCTGCGCGCAGTATCATTCTTTTAAGACAGAGGTAAGCTCACCATGCTCTCTTCTCACTCCACTGCATAAGTCCTGTTGTGTCTATGATAGAGAGGAAAAAAGGCCACTGACAGTCACCATTCAGTGATTCTGCTGGGAGGTGTTGCCCAGAGTGATACATTCCAACCAACCAACAAACATTTATTATCAGAGATCAGACATTTCAACTTTTGAAAAAGAGACCTTAGGGCAGGGGGATGTCGGTATATTGTTTTAAAAAAAAATCTGTAATTGATTAATCTGTTAATTCAAAGAAATCTATTTTTTCAGCTATCTGATTGAAATTTTTTTTCTTCAAGAAACACTTTTCTGCTGGTTGGCTAACAAACCAATTACAGCAATTTCCTTTCTGTAATATCTCTAACGTCTAGCCTCTCGACTCCATTCCCATTGCTATTACACTAATACAGGTCCTCATCACCAATTCAATTCACTTCAGCAAGCATTCATGAAGCGCCTACTATGTGACAGCACTGTGAGAGGTGCTAGAGACATAAAAACAAAGTCAAACCACTCCTGCCCTAAAGGAGCTTACATTTTATCGATGGGGAGACATGTATACACATAAGTAAATACACCATATATGACAAACAATTTCTGTGGTGAGGGCACAAGGCTAAGATGAAAGATACTTTGTTAACAAAAAAGCAGGAGCTTCAGAGGGCACAATTTATGGTCTTTTCATTTGGACTACTGCAATAACTTCCTAACAGGCCTTTTCACCTTTACTCTCTGCACTTATACTGTTGCCAGGATACTCTTTCTCTTGCTCTGACCTATTTATATTATTGATTACAGTATTTTTTGTGTTGGAAGGGGCCTTCAATAACATCTAGTTTACCCACCTCATTTTACAAATGAGAAAACTAAGGCCTAGAAAGCAATAGAAATAACTTGCCAAAACTTCGCTGAGGCAAACCCTTCAATGTGAAAAAAAATAATTCCATTCTATCCCATCTTCTCTAGAAGACCATCCCCTCTATCATTCATATATCATATATTATTTTGGGGCCCCTTCTGGCTCAAAGTGAATGCAAATAGAAACTGTTTCTCTTTTGGCCCGTGACCCTGAGGGTCTTCCCCTCCCAGTTTGATTTTTTTTTTATTAAAAAGGCCATCCCTTGATTCACTTTTTTTTTCTGTCTAGAGAATGGAAGTGACTTGCCCAGCGTCACACACTAGTAAGTATCAAGTGTCTGAGGTCAAATTTGAACTCAGGTCCTCCTGACTCCAGGGTCAGTGCTCTATCCACTGCACCACTTAGCTGCCCCACTTGACTCACTTCTTAAAGAGGTCTATTCACTGAATGGGTGTTGCCTCACTCAAAGTGAGAGCTTGAAAAGCCCTTAGCTTAAAAAGGCCAAGGTCTCTCACTGCATCCTGGGCCATCTCCAGTCGTCCTGATCAATATCTGGCCACTGGATCCCGATGGCTCTGGAGAAGAATGCGAGGTTGGTGACTTTGCACAGCCTTCCCTCACTCAAATAAAAGTCAATTGCAAGTCATGTCATCATCTCCCTGATGTCATGGACCTCTTCAAGAATGAAGGACAAACTGAAACTTCACTAATCTTCAAATTCTCTTTGTTTACTTTCCCCTGAGGCCTATAAACATGCTCATGTATCTCCTATCTTTAAAAAAATTCATCTTTTTTTTTTATTAATTTGATTCATCCCTATAACTGATTATTATTGTATATCCTGCTTCCCTTCTGTGGCTAAAATCTTTGAGAAGGCCATCTGTAATCAATGCCTCCACTGTCTTTCTTTTTACTCTCTTAGCTGTCTACAATTTAGCTTCTTACCTCATCATTCAACTGAAATAATTCTCTCCAAAGTTATCTGTGTTCTCTTAATTGACAAATCCAATAACTTTTTCTTCTCAATTCTCATTCTACTTGACCTCTCCACAGCTTTTGACTTTGTTCATCACCCTCTTCTCTTTGATTTCCTCTTCTTTCTAAGCATTTGTGACATTGCTCTTTCCTGGTTCTCCTCCTACCTTCTCCTTCTCAGTCTCATTTATTTTGTCATTAGTCAGGTTACATTTACTAACTATGGGTGCCTCCAAGGGTCTGCCCTGGGACTTCTTCTCCCTCTATACTATTTTGTTTGGCAATCTTTTCAGCATGGATTCAATGATCATATCTATGGAGATTGTTCTTGGATCTATTTATCTAGCATTCCTAAATTCTTTCCTAACCTTTCCTATTGTATATTAATCATTGTTTACATGTTATCTCTCCCATTAGAATATGAAGTCCTTGAGAGTACATAAGCCTGGTACATAACAGGTGCTTAATAAATTCTTATTGACTTGATTTGACTTGCCTTGGTGTGTGTTCCCTAGGTGCATTCTCCTTCATGCATACACCCTGTATGTTCTCTGCTTTATCCTTCTACATGTGTGTAATGGCTCCATAGTTTCTCCACGTATGTGAGTCTTTCCATATAAGCTTTCTGTGAGCTCATACATCCCATTGACTTTGTGTGAATTTGTGGAAGAGTGTACCCTAGGTTTATAAGAGAAATGTTTTGTTGTTTCTTGTTATACCATATCATCAAATGCCTTTTTTCTTGTTCAGTCATGTTGAAGTCTTCATGATTGCATTTGGGGTTTTCTTAGCAAAGATGCTGGAGTGGTTTACCATTTCCTTTTCCAGCTCATTTTACAGGAAACTGTAGGCAAATAGGTGACTTGCCTAGGGTGACACAGCTAGTAAGTGTCTGAGGCCAGATTTGAACTTGGGAAGATGAATCTTCCTGACTCCAGGCCCAAAGCTAGCCACCTAGCTGTCCCCTAAAGCAAATGTCTTTACTTTAGGTTAACTATATCCTCTGGTTGACGATGAAAGATAAATACATTGTTGGGGACCCATAAGCTATGGTTTTGAGTGATGCCAATCCACAGAGTTCCTTAAACTTAAGTTAGCCATCTACTGAAGGACCTGCCCCATGAGCTGGGTTGAGGGGATACCCCTAAGTATTTTACTAAAATATTCAGAGGAAAGATGAAATAGACTAACTAGAGGACCTTGAACTTGAGATGGTTAAGATTTCAATAAGTAGAGAGTGTGGGAACAAACTACTTTGAGGGGAAAGAAGTGGAAAGAAGAGCAGGAGCAAAGTATTACAGGCTGGAATGAGCATGGTATATTCAGGATATAGTAAGGGGAATGGTATAGGGAGATAATGGGAGATGATTTGGAAAGAGTGGGCACAAATTGTGTATTGGAGATGGCTGGTTAGAAATCCTTGGCATCAGTAACCTCTGCTATTCAGTGTCAAGCACCCACTCTTCCATACTCACCTCTTCTGGATTATCTTTGAGACTCAGCTCTTGCTCTTGGGATCGAGTGGCTGTGAGAAGCCATATTTGCAAGACTATAGTTTCAGCAATGTACAGATAATCCTGAGAACTTGTGCCTAAGACTCAATGACACCAATTCCAGGTTCCCTCAGACTTCAGGTATATTGTCTCTAGACAATATCGTGGTAAAGATTAATTATCTTGGTAAAGCATTTACTTTTAAGAAGACATTTTTCCTGTGGTCTTTTTTTTTTTCATTTTGTCTTCTCTAGTTTAGTTTTGTGTGCTGATATTAGTATTAGTCCTTTGCCTTTCCTTGAAACTGAGATTCTTGTGTTTGTAGTATCATAGGTCTCATTTTCAATTTATTAAGCAAGTTAAAATGAAAATCCCATTAGAAGTAGATTATTTACTGAAAGAGCAACTTATGACCAACGAAAGGATTGAAAGCGCTCCCCAACAGACTCTTATTCAGTTTTGTAATGTACCTGATGATGTTTGGATATGAAATTAGAATGTTTTGTGTCCATGATTTGCTTTCCATGAAGGTAACTTTTATTTTGAAAGTCATCAAGGTATAGGGGATAATGTAGGGGTCCAAATCTGTCCCAGAATCTAAGAGCTTTGGAATGGAATGGGGAAGTTGTTTTAGACTCTTGGTTTTTCCGTTAACTCTTTAGGTCCCCTTGAGCAAGTACTTAAATCTCTTGCTTGAAAGTAATACAGACCCCCCCACCCTTCTTAGTCTCCTGTGGAAGATTCATGTGAAACTCCTAATAATAGGTTTATATTAAAATCCCAGGGAGTGGGATGGATGTCAGTACTGATATAATCAAGATTGAGTCTTTGGATTCTGGTATGTACTTTTCTAAAGAGGGAGTGATGTTGAAGGAGCACAGTGATAGAAGTCAGAAGCCTCCTGCATTCAACTGCCAGCTTTGCTACTTACCATCCATGTGACCTTGAACAAGTCACTCTGTGCCTCAGTGACTTTTAAAAATGGATACTTTAAAAATTACTGTTACTTCACAAGCATTTAATCCATAAAATCCTCTTTTAAGAAAAAAGTAAAACAAATCTATCAATAATGTACAATGTATTTGCAATATTCTGTCTTCATAATCAATTAACACACACATTTATTAATCACCTACTATGTGTCAGGCACTGGAGATACAAATAAAAAAAAATGAAAGCCTTACTCAAAGAAAGGTTACATTCTAATGGAGGAGACAATGCCAGAGGTATAGTCATAATAACAGTTAACATATATGCATACATATATACATACATGTAACTATATGTGTCTATTTATGTGTATGCCAGGCACTGTGCTAAGCACTTTATAATGATTGTCTCATTTGACCCTCACAGCAACCCTGTGAGGTAGGTGTTATTATTATTACCTTCATTTTACAGATGAGGAAACTGAGACAAAAATAAATTAAGTGACTTGCCCAGGGTGACACAGCTAGTAAGCTTCTGAAGCCAAATTTGTTCCTTGTGGCTGGAATGCACTCTTTTCCCATCATCAGTTCTCTGGAATTAAGATTGGTCGTTGCACTAGCCTGAATACAAATTTTAAAAAATCTCACCTCTCATATTGTCTGTGTGACTTTGGGACAAGCCATTAAATCTCCCTGGGCCTCGATTTCCTCAACTACAAAGTGAAGGAGCTGGATTAGATGGCCTCCAAGGTCCCTTCCCATTATAAATCTATTATCCTAAGATGTTTTTCTCAACATTACTATAGACATTATGTACACCGTTCTCCTGGTTCTACTTTGTTCTGAATATTGTTTCCTCATCTGTAAAATGGAAAGACAAATCTTCCTTCTACTACTTAGCCCACAGGGTTATTGTAAGAAATGTGCTTTATGAACTATAGAAATGCGGATTTATTTTCAATTTAAGCATCTTTGTATGTGCAAATGCTTCCAAAATAAATTTTCATTTATTCACCAAATAAGAGTAGCTTCTGTGCTAGCTACTGAAAGGGATAAGATGATGAACAAGAAAAAGTTTCTGCCCTCAATGAACTCCAATATAGGAGGAGAAGAGACTCAGCCTCAAAGAAGTATGATAAAAAATGAGTGTAATAAGAATTTAATAGAGGTAGAAAGAGGGAGCTATGGAGGCCAGAGGAGGAAGGGAACACAAATGCCTGGAGGAAAAGAGAGATGCCTCAGTAAGAACTGAGAATGCAACTGGTTGCACCCTCATTCACTTGATATTTGTATGTGACATATGCAATGATTCGTTGTTATGAGTTATATGGATATATGTGTATGTGCATACATGTGTGCATGTATACACATATACATATATATGCATGTGTGTATGCATACCTGTATGTATGTATGTATGTATGTAGCTGAAAAAGCAGTAGGGTGGGAGTCAGAAGACGTGGGTTCTCATCCTCGCTCTGCTACTAATACGTTGCAGAACTATTCAGTCACTTCACCTATTTGAGCTTCGTTCATACTAGGAGGGTTTTGGACTAGATGACCACTGGGGTCTGCTCTGGCTCTAGGATTCTGTATCTCTATCTCATATCCATGGGAATGGAAAGTGGAGAGATGACCATGTTACTCACAGACCTAAAAACCTTCAGTGGCCCCCATTGACCCCCCCCCAAGATATGGTGCCAACCTACCTCCCCAGCCTAACTCCGTATCACTTCTCCTTACACACTACACTCCAGTTAACTCAGACCACTAGCTGGTCCCCAAACTCAACAATCTCTCCTTTGCCTCTGTGTATTTGAGCAGGTTGTTCCCTGTTTCCTCCTTTTTTTGGGGGGGAGGGGGTTAGGCAATGGGGTTAAGTGACTTGCCCAGGGTCACACAGCTAGTAAGTGTTACGTGTCTGAGGCCAGATTTGAACTCCGGTCCTCCTGACTCCAAGGCTGGAGCTTATCCACTGTGCCACCTAGCTATCCCTTGTTTCCCCATTTCTACCTTGTCTTATTTCAAGGCTCAGCTCAAACGCCCCCTCTTCTGTATAATCATCCCTGATTTCCTCATCTTTTAGCTTTCTCTCTTCCTGAAATACCCTTAGAGAATTCTATTTTATCTCTCTTTTGCTTCCTTCACTCCCTAAATGACATGTTTTTGGAAGGAAGGAAACAAGCATCTATTAATCATTTATTATGTTGTAGGTACTGTGCTGACTGCCGGAGATAGGTATTTATACAAGCAAAAAGAAAGAGTCCCTGCCTGCAAGAAGCTGACATTCTAATGGGGAAAGACAACCATGGAAATGCCGGAACCAGTTCCAATGGACTCAGGAGAGCTGATTGTTAAGTTTTCAGAGTGAGAATTCACTCCTCAGAAATAGGCGAATGCTACAAATCAAGGCTTGATTTCTTGTTTCATTGACTTTACTTAAGGAAGTGATGGTGAAAATGTTAATAATGTTTATTACACTTTAAAGTGTGCCATGCACACCTTTCCTTTTTTGGAAAGCTGGTTTTTAAACATTTACCAGCACACCCCTGAAGACAACACCCAGAAGGGAGCTGAAGAGGCATCATTGGAATGGGGGTGGGGGTGGGAATAGAGAATAAAGACCTCAGGTACTGAGGGGAGTCCTAGCATGAAAAGAGGGGAGCGAAGGCTGGCTGGCCTGGGCTTCTCCACAAAATAGAGGTCTTAGGAGGAACTCATCAGTGGGAGGAGGTGGCTGGCCTGGCAGAGGAATATCCCAGGGCAAGGAAGCCTCAGGAATTGAGGGAAATTCTAGGATGAGACAGCAGCAAACACATGGTTTTGAAGTCCCACAAGTCAGAAACAGGCCTACGAGGGGAAATATCTGTATATGTTATATCTCCTCAGGAGAATGTAATTTCCTTCATGGAAGATTCTGTTTTGTTTTCATCTTTGTATTTTGAGTGCTAGCACAATGCCGGGCACATAGGCACTTACTAAAGATTTGCTGTATTGAGTAGGATTGAATATGTAGGCATAGGGAGATGGGAGCTTGGGTTAATGGGGACTAGCAGTTAGAAGAAGGGAAAAAGGAGTGAATGAGGAATGACAATAATAGGTGAAGAGAGAAAGGCCAGAGAGCAAGGGAAAGGGCTGGAGCTCCCCTAGTCCCAGACTCCCAGGATCTGGGACCTTAGAAGTCATCTAGTCTAATCTGAGCCTTAATAGAGATCTCTCTACAACATCTCCAACAGCTATTTGTGCAGTCTCACTTGAAGGCCTCTAAAGATGAAGAACTCACCAGCTTCAGTGGCAACCCATCCCATTTAGGCATGACTCTGGCTGTTAGGAAGATTTCCCCTGTATCAAGTCAGAATATGTTTCTCTGCTATTTCCTACCATTGCTATTAGCTTTGTCTTATGGGACCAAGGGAATGAAGTGGTGCAGACAGTGGTGAAAGGAAAAACGAAAGGAGATAGAGCAGAGGGAAGGCATCTTGGCCCTAGGTCAATAGCCACTCACTCAGAAACATTTGGGAAGCAGAAGGGGGTCTTGCTCTGAAATCGATTTTTCCTTTATATGGTATAATTATGCATTTCTCTATGCTGGCAACCTTCTAGCATAATTACCCAGGATTATAAACATTTGTATGGCCTATTCCTGGAAGGCCCTTCAACCCTGCTCCCTGTAAAGTGAATGTTGGAAGAGAATTCAAGGGGAGAAGATGACTGTAATGTCAAAATCACAGATGACCATGACATCTGCAGGGGAGCAGGAGACAGAGCCAGGCTAAGGCATATCTCTTCTAGACCTGAAATACTCCCTTCATGAGCATATATAAGTGAGATCAATGCAAGAGCATAAACACCCTAGGGGGAGTGAGGGTCATTGCTTCATTAGGGATAACTGGGCCCCAGCTGGAAGTTCCCTGCACCTCTCCCCATGGACTTAAAACGCATGTGCCCCTGTAGTTTCTGGGGCCTCATTATACAGAATTCCTGCTTACAACCCTGGCCTAAGCTTTCTCTGAGGATTTGATTCTTGGCTCCAGGAGGCACCTTTTGGGAGGCCTCAGGGTTGTCAGAGAGATTTTGGCCTGTGTTCTCTGTGCTGGGTTTGTTCGAAAGAGAGGGGGGCCTGGGAGTTGATTGGGTCCATGGCCAGCTTAAATATTAGAAGGATTCAGGGTGGGTTTCCATTGTTAATTGTTTGTTAAGAATGTTGCCACACAGCCTAGGGCAAGACAAGGAGCTAATTTGTAGGCAATTCTTTTTCCAAGTATAGAGGAAATATATAGCACATGACAAAGGCATTATTTGCCATATCACGTATCATGGGCTTTGCAGGAGAAGGTTCTTAAGAAAAGGGAGCTAATAATAATATGATAGCTTAGGGGCAGCTAGGTGGCACAGTGGATAGAGCTCTGGCCTTGGAGTCAGGAGGACCTGAGTTCAAATATGGCCTCAGACACTTGACACTTACTAGCTGTGTGACCCTGGGCAAGTCACTTAACCCTGATTGCCTAACCAAAAAATAAATAAATAAATATCAAAAAAATATATATATATAATAGCTTATACTCACTTTAGGTTTACAAAACACCTTTCTTATAACAACCCCCTGAGAGAGGCAGTGCCTATGTTATTATCCTCATTTTAGAGATGAGAAAGCTGAGCCTCAGAAAGAGTATTTACTCAGGATCACCATATCTTGTAGTTTGAACTGGTCCTTAAATTGAGATTTTCTCACTCCAAAATCAATGCTCCTTTCACTAAACCTCTGCTGCCCCTTTGAATGAATGAATGATCACCAATGTAATCACACCTTAGATCTCTTTATAGGCATATAATATAGCCTTTATAGTTTCACATCTGAAAGCCCGTAGCATTTTAGAATCCATGTTCTCATTTTTTCCCCATATTAAGTTATCCCCATTTTACAGGTGAGTAAAGTGAGGCCTCTAGAAGTTAAGTCATCTTAAGTACATCTAGTATATTAGGACTTGGATTTCCCAACTCCCTGTCTAGTCTTGTGTTCAAAGGGACAAAATACAAACTCTTCAACTTAGCATCTAATTTGGCATTCACAATCTGACTACAACCTACCTTGCTTGATTACCCAAAGGGTTAATGCTTTCTTCCTCCTCAAATTATTTTGTATTTTTCTGTTTTCAGGTTGTGTCAGGAAAATTTAAGATCTTTGAAGGGTAGGGACTTTTTTTTTTGGCTTTTGGCTTTATTTCTTCATCCCTAACATAGTGCCTTGGACACAGGATCATACGTGCAAAATTAGAAGGGGCTCAGAGTCCATATAGTTCAACGTTCTTATTTTGCAGTTGAAGGAATGGAGGCCCAAGGAAATTAAATGACTTTCTCAAGGTCAGATGTATAGAAAGCATCGGAGGCAGCATTTGAACCCAGGTCCACTGACTCTAGAGCCAGTGCTCTAATCACTTTACCCCATAAAAGTCTAACTTATCGGACAAGTCTTATAATATTTGACCCATGTAGGATTTTTTTTTTTTGGTGAGGCCATTGAGGTTGAGTGACTTGCCCAGTCATGTAGCTAGTGAGTGTTATGTGTCTGAGGCCTGATTTGAACTCAGGTCCTCCTGACTACAGGGTCAGGGCTCTATCCACTGTACCACCTAGCTGCCCCAGGAATTCTTTGAAACTTGAAAGAATAATCTCAGGACCTGTATCAGGAAATACTTCTTTCCACATCTAGGGAGTAGTTCCACAGCATATAGATTTAGAATTGGAAGGGACCTTAGAGAAATTTATTGCTAAAAGAGCTGGCAAAGTCTAAAAATTAACTGAGGACCTAAGGAGGGTTGAGATAAATTCAATTGGAAGCTAGGAATGTATCATCAACATTTATGAGCATACATAACCTTTGGAGGTGGATTCTACCCAATAGAACCATGGCCCTCTTAAAGTACATCCCTTGGTATTATCGCTATAAGAGAAAGCATAAGGCTAAATGAATAAAGCTGTTGATTCTTCTGACCAGTCAATGACTAGCACCTAATTAGGCATGGACAATAAAGCAAATGAAGAACATAAAATGGTGCTATCTACTTAGCCTCATTGACTCTACCTAATGGTGCTAAGTGTCCCACCCACTCATGAAACTTGACTTTTTATGGTTTAAAAGAAACTTTCTATTCTAACTTATGTGGTTAATTTTCCTGTAATTTGCAGAATCATTGAAGCTGTATGGGGAGAAAGGTCTTAATGTGGGAGAATAGTAATAATGAGAAGGAAGAAGTTATTGAGACAGAAATACCAGGGATAAGTTTTATTCAAAAATGTTATATAGGAGAAATTTAAATGTGGAGGGCAGAGCCAAGATGGCAGAGTGAAAGCAGAGACTCTCCTGAGTTCTCCCTCTCTAAAAATTGACTCTGAACAAATTCTGGAGTGTCAAAACCCACAAAGAGACAGAGTGAGGCAGATTTCCAGCCCAAGACAACCTGGAAGGTCAACAGAAAGGTCTGTTGCACCAGCCTGAGAGAGGAGCATCCGTTGTGTAGGGCACAGTGCACACCTAGCCTAAGCAAAGCCAGAGCAGGCCTTGGAGGACTGAATCACCAGCAGCAGTGGTAGTTTCCAGTCTTCTCAGCACACAGACACCAGAATCATCTTAGAAGGTCAGCGGGAGAGGTCTGTGGAAACTGGGTGAGAGAGAAACACAGTCTAGTGCAGGGCTGCAGGGCATACCAATATAGCCTCAGCACCAGCAAAGTAGGAGCAGGCCTTGGGAGTGACTACATCAGTAGCAGTAGGGGTGGCAGCAGCTGCTCCTGGAAATATTAACCCATCAACTGAATGTTTGAAAGTCACCTATTTCGACTTCAAGGAGCCAAGATAGTGGAGTAAGCAGTAAGTTGCTCTCACCCTCCCTTACTGACCTTGAAAAACCCAGAGAATATTGCCCCAGGAAAGATCCTGAAATAGTGGAGTCAGCAGAAAGACAAGACACAGCAGTCTTCTAGCTCATGAGGCTAGGGGGATTAACAGGAAAGGTCCCTCTTGCTGTGGCTGAAGGGGACCAGTACAGGAAGGGAGGAATCCCAGCAAGCCAGTGGCAATCCCCATCTCAGCAAACCAATAACCAGGCCCCTATCCCCCAGCATAAGAAGCCTGAGACAGTACCTCCTATGCCCCAGAAGCAGAGATCAACTTTAAAAGTCAGGAAAAAAAAACAAATTTAAATAGCAACTTTGACAAACTTCTCAAAAGTTTTGTGATCACAACCCATGCAATTTCTAGGTTAGTATTTGAGAAACTAAATAAGCATGTTAAAGTGGAAAGTGGTAATTAATGTACATATTAGCAAAAAATATCAACAGCACTTAGGTAATTGATACTTGCACAATCAATTAGCCAACACGCATTT